TACAGTTCAATTCATTTTTGCTTTCCAGTGTTCGTTAGGTGGTGAGCTACAGCATTCTTCACCTGCATGAGCTTCGGAATAGTTTTCATTGACAATCCCTGTAAAATGCATTACAATAAAGGCAACTCCCATCGTACATGCAGGTTCAGTTCCAAGGGTTATGCATATAAAGCAAAAATCGCATATAGGTAAAATTGCTTGCAAAGCCATTATTACTCACATTATAGGTGGGGCATGTGCTTAGTCCCCCTCTATGGGAGGAAGAAATAGCTGCCCACCTTCTATAAGGCTGCCTGTAAGGGGCAGGATCAGAGGTGGGAGGAAACTGGAAGACCCAAGCAGACCCAGTGCAAAGAGAGCTTTGTAAGTTTGTGGCCTTTCCAGGCAAGTCATACTTGGCACACCACGTGTTTAGCTAGTGGTTCAGTGGTTCTGGGAGTGGTGAGGATGATCTTATGGGAACTCAAATTGTTCTATGAGTTCTTGTGAGAGCATCCCCACCACTCACAGAGTCACCATTCTGCCAGCCCAAAGAACCCTGCTTCCAGGGTGTACAGAGTGGTACTTGCCCAGGCAGGTTCAGGTTTGTGGAGCAACAGAAGAGAGGAGGAAGGAGACAAGCGGAGAGAGAGAAAGCCAAGCACATATAGTCATGTGTAATGTGCATAAGATGCAGGTTTATTGCAGTCCCTTCTAGAAGTTACAGAAGTACAGTCATACCTCGGGTTACAGACGCTTCAGGTTGTGTGTTTTCAGGTTGCGCACTGCGCCAAATCTAGAAGTACCAGAATGGGTTACTTCTGGGTTTCGGCGCATGCGCAGAAACACTAAATCATGCTTTGCGCATGCGTGGAAGCGCCGAATCGCGACCCGCACGTGCACAGATGCGGCGCTGTGGGTTGCGAATATGCCTCCCTCACGGATTACGTTCGCAACCCAAGTGTCCACTGTATGTACAAGAGCAGCACAATCCTGTGTTGTCAAAAGGGGCTGGAGCTGACAAAAGCCACTCCTGGTCACTGTCTATGCTTGTTCAGGAACAAAAAAGAGCACCCCTAAGTGTCAAACATGTTCAGATACAGTGATTACCACCTCATCTATCACAAGCACAATTGATCCCTCCAAACATTGGAATTACCTACCAAGAGCAGCTCTCTCTTTCTGCTGGATGAGCAGATACCCTGAACCTGACCTTTGGGATTTACATGCTTCTATTCAATCTCTGTCCTTAAATTACAGTGTTTTGTTGCTCTGAATGTATACAGACAAGACCTGCATGTGCACTACTCCCCCAGCCCCATCCTTTTGAAACTGTGGGAAGGATACTGCATGGGCAGGAATTTCCTTTCTCTCCCCCCCCCCCAATCATTTTATATCACCAAAGGTTTGTAAGCATGTCCTGTGACCAGGGACGCGGACTTATAAAAAATATTGGGGGGGGGGGGCCGGGAAAGCTCATGAATAATAAATAAGCTCATGAATATGCAAATAAAGTGGCGCCGCCTCCTCGTGAGCGAATAGGGGAGAGCGTGCTGCGCCTATTAATCAGCTCCAAAGGAAATTGGGTGGAGCTTTTGCTCGGGAGGGAGGGCAGGAGGCATGCAGCCCGCCCCTCCCTGTGCATTTTGGGCTGGGGGAGGGGCGGCGATGGCGCTCTGCTGGAGGGGCGCCGGAGATTATTGGGGGGGCGGAGCCCCCCCAAACGAATTTTTGAGGGGGGCTCGGGCCCCCTCAAGCCCCATGGAGTCGGCGCCTATGCCTGTGACCTGCTTCAAAGTAGTCTGAAGTTAGGCAAGAGAGTTCTTACTGCTTCTGGTCCATATTTTACTCCTCACCTACCCAGAGCCTTTGCCTGTGCCATTGTGTTTCACAAAATCTAAAACCACTTGTGAATTTACTGTTTACAAATCTGCCTGTTTTTATTTTCCAAAGGGCTTATGGCTTAAGCTTTGTAGCTTCTTGAACAGTTACCTATGTCCACAATAGTATAGCTTTAGGAATTTTGTACCCCAAAAACATTTTTTTATCAGCACAAACACATATACTACTCCAGCAACTTATTCTTGAAAATCGTTAGCAATTGTATGACAACCGTTTTTACTTGAAGAAATCATTTCAGCTTATGGAGCTAATGCAGGCAGCCTAATGGAAAACCCAATTCCATCTGTACTCAGAGCAGTGCTGCTGGTGCATTGACCTAATTGTAAAGCTCATTATCTGAGTCAGATAAAATTATTGAGCTGAGAACAATAACTAAATCATAACTCTTCTGATCGATGCTTGTTTAACTTTGAGAATCTTTTGGTCATGGGTTATATGTTATCACTTTTTAAAGGTTGCATCTCTGAACCAAAACGTAAAACTTTTCCAGTTATTTCATAAGTGCATTTGTGGCTGTTATTATTATTTATTGAAATTATATCACCCTCCTCCTCATTTAATTCCCACAACAACCCTGTGAGGTAGGTTAGGTCAAGAGGCAGTGATTAGCCCAAAGTCACTCATTGGCCAAGTGGGATTTGAACACTACTCTCCCAGATCCTAGTCCAGCTCTCTGAGCACGACACCTCACTGTTTCTCTAAAACTCATAAGAATAAAATGAATAGTTCTAAGAAAATCTTGGGTAAGGTATTAATAGAAGTTCTGTCCACTGGCAGAATATTGTAATTGGTTTAGAATGAACACCCCCATGTGGTGTCCATGGACAACATGGCAATCTCAAAATGCCCCCCTGTATCTGCTGAGGGTGCCCTACCCCCCCCCCATTTTTAAACTGAGATTTTAAAGCTTTCTGTTGTTGCTGATGTTTAGGTGAGCGGACTGCCTGCTTCTTTTTGTGGGGTGAGGGTTGTTGCCTGCTTTTTGAGAGGGGTTTATTTGTTTTTGCCCGGGAGGTATTTTGCCTATTTTGAAGAAGGGAATCTGAGCATCACCAGTTTTCTTCTAAGAAATGAGTATTTCACAGTGCCTCCAACAGTTTGCTAGATTTCCAGATGTGCCTCTATGCTGCAGAGATTTGGCTTACAATATGTAGGAAGAATTGGTTCTGCTGCTAGAGGCAGGTAGACAGAGTCTGTTCTGTTTTTAGAGCTGCTAACCACATATCATATTCACCTCAGTCATTTCTGTGGGTTTCTTAAATTATGCAGATGAATTCCTGAATAGAACTTTGTAGATTAGACATGCTTAAGCTCTGTCTTTGGCAGGTCTGGATATTCTTTTTCTAGTTACAGTATCTGGTAGACAAACTCCCCACCCCGTGAAGTTTGCCATGAAATAATTTCATCTAGGAATGCATTCCTAACAGGGCTATGTGAACTTCCTTTCTGGATGTGTGCCAGATTTGTGTATATCTATGTACTTTATTTGACTCTTGGTCCCACTTCTTACACACGTTTGGCCAGTGTCCCAGAAAGAAGCACAAATGAGCACATGGACGGATTCAGATAAAGAACAATTTTATAATGCTTTGGTTTATTCTTCTGCAGTAGAAATTCTGTGTTCCTGTGGGACCAACTTGGTTGTGTTTCTGTGGGAAAAGCCTGAGTCTTGGAGCAGTTTCACACACTAGCTTCTATAATGGAATAGCTTTTAGTAACAACAATAAGGAAGGCTATCCTAGATTCTCTACATTCCTTAGATCACTGATGGGAATCTGTGGCCCTCCAGACGTTGTTGGACTACAACTCCCATTATCTCTGACCATCAACTGGCTGAGGCTGATAGGAGTTTTGAGTAGAACTAGTTGAAGGGTCGCATGTTCCCAAACCCTGTACTTCAGACAAGTAATATATCTGCTTTGATTAAGAGCACCGTTGAAGCTACGTTACTCCCATGCTTGAAGAACCAAAATGTTCATGAAATGTGCGTGAAAGTTGTGTGTGTTGCCCCTCAAACATTCTGTTTTGTTTTAGTCTCCAGACATTTGCACAATGAATTAGATTAGTTTAAAATCTACTGGGCCTCTGCTTTCTAACCAGGTTTATTGGTTTGTTCTCTGTTGAAGATACTTCCCCCCTCCCAAGTCACACTGACCTTGTTGCACGTCCAGCTCAGGAAGTGACAGTCTGGTTATTTATGCCTGTTTTGCTTGGCCAGGATATCCATAGTGAGCTAAATGACTTGGGAGCTCAGGAACTCTCTGCCTGACCTTCCTATAGCATCAAATTGTGGCTGAAGGCATAAACATGGGATGCAGAGTGACAAAGTTCAGTTGGAGGGGGCCAGTTGAGCCGTCTTGAGAGTACACTTGCTTATTTTATTAAACAACATTTATATACCATGTGATTGTAAGAAAACCTCTAATCAATTTACATCAGGGCATGTTGTCTGTAAGCCCATAGGGCAACATAAGTTCCCTCTGATGTAGTGGGTATTGAATAGTGCCAACAAATTATTGGATCCCCTTTCCTTGTGTAATCATTCACAACCAGTGGTTACATGGCTTAGCTGGCATAAAACCTAGATTTAACCTTCATGTAACAAGTAATATTACCCTGTATTCAGCTGTTGCTTGGATTTTATGTCCTGGTTTCCCAAATCAGCTTGGAAACCTGGAAGATGTGCCCACTGCCTTGCTAGCCTCTTTCCATTTGGCCTTGGAGTCAGGACCCTGACTGACTAAAAAAGCTGAGGCTGCTGAACAGACTCTTGAGCTGGGGTATTTAGTTTTGTTGGGAGTTTTGCTGCTGTTACTGATATTAATTTTTTGTATCTTTTTATGTTCAGTTTCGTTATACAGTTTTTGATGTGTTTCATTTATTTTTATGACTACTTTGTTATGTTTGTAATTATGTAAATCTTTTCACATTGTAAGCTGCCTTGAGCATTGTTTTAACTATGGAAAGGCGGCATGCAAATAAAATGATGATGATGAATTCAAACCTATTTTGCTCATATGTATAAAGGTGACAATTTGAGGGTCCGTTTGTAAACGAGCCCATTCTCACTCACTTGCCAGTGGATTTTCTCAAATTCCTTTCTCACTTCTTCTGTCTAGGTGACCTTCACAAAACGGAAGTTTGGATTAATGAAGAAAGCCTATGAACTGAGTGTGCTTTGTGACTGTGAAATAGCACTCATCATTTTTAACAGTTCTAACAAACTCTTTCAATATGCCAGCACGGATATGGACAAAGTTCTACTCAAGTATACAGAATACAACGAACCCCATGAGAGCAGAACCAACTCTGATATTGTCGAGGTAACAAAACTGTAACCATGAATGAATCCTCATACCTCATTTAGTTTTAGTAAAGCCAACCATACCCTTCTGTACAGTAACAAAGTAATTAATTTCAATCAACAGTATTTTAAATGATACATTACTTTATCCAAAGCTCTCCAAGATGGGTAACAAACATGAATAAATCACTGGAGGCTGCTCCTGAAGGAATCTGTCTCAAAAGGCATTGCATGGATTTAATTGAAACACACCAAAACTAGGAAGCACCCAAGGATGACAAACAGAAAGGAGAAATAAATTGCAAAGATGCCAAATGATCACAAACCCTTCTGTTACAGAAGAGCTTGTATGGCACGAGTTCACTAAGGAATAAGAAAGCAAGCCCTTGATAAAAGCATTCTTGCTGAAATACACTGAGCATATTGAACAATAACATATTCTGTCTTCTTGGCATCTCTGAGATATACCGTATATACTTGAGTATAAGCCGACTTTTTCAGCACATTTTTTATGCTGAAAAAGCCCCCCATGGCTTATACTTCAGAGAGGCAGGCAGGTGGCGGAGGGACGAGCGGTCCAAAAGGAGCCCTTTCTCGCCACTGGTCCCACTGCCCACCTGTCGTAAGGGCAGGCACAGGAGCCGCAGTTGGGAGAAGCACTGCGCTGTGCCTCTCCCAACTGCGACTCCTATGCCTGCTCTTGTGAGCGGCAGAGGTGGCGGTGGAGGAACGAGCAGCCCGAAAGTAGCCCTTTTGGGCTGCTCGTTCCTCCTCCTCTGCCTTTGCCACTGTCAGCGGTGGTGGCAGAGGAACGAGCAGCCCGAAAGCAGCCCCTTTGGGCTGCTTGTTCTTCCTCCACTGCTGCCACCACCAGCAGCTATGTTAGACTAATTTAGTGTCTGTATTGCAGAATAATATATATGTGTTTAAATTAGATTTTTTAAAATCGGTTTTTACAGAATGTTTTTTCCATCCACTCTTCTTTACCCAATCAAATCTAAGCACAGCCTTTAATATGACTCTTTTGCAACCAGGCAATTTCACTAATTGTCTTTTGCGGAGGAACCATACTCTCATTTCTGCTGAACTACATTTCATTCCAGGTTTACTCCCATAGTTGTACACTTTTATTTTTTGAAGCTTGTGTTTTGTTATGAACTAGTATGTGCATTGTTACTGAAGGAAGCATGTAGTAGTTTGGGATTTTCATAGTTCTCTGATCACGCATGACCTGACTTATAGCATTGTTTTGGGCTGACTTTATATTAAGGTCCAGTTGATTATGTTGAGTGTTGTCAAACAGCTGGAAACTTGCTTATGTTAGCTCCCACCCCCAGGGGGCAGGTTCTTGTGCCCAATCTTGTGCTACATCTCTCTGAAATGCATCTCTGCTCTTTCCCCCCCAGCTCTAAGCTGGGAGCTGAGGAGAGGAATTCTGTTCCTAGCTTGAAGCTGGAGATAGGTGTGTTGACTTCCTTTTGATTCTTCACCTGATTGGTGCTCAGAGTGCCCTGTTTGGCAGATTCTGTCTCCCATTAGCAGCTCTGAGCTAGAGATAAAGGATGGGGACTTGTTATTGTTCTGCACTTGTATCTGGCAAACACAGAGCCAAATAGATAACCCCAAACTTCAGTTGAACTTCGGAGCTAGGGAGGGGCCATGAATCATTCCTTCTCTGATGTTCCACGGTTTGGATGAAGCTTTGGGCTCATCTCAGTTGACAGAGCCTCGTTTTCCCCTTGCTGTAGTGTGGATTGTGTGTTAGATTGTCCAACCCTGAATGTTGTTGAAAAAAATCCCAGTCACAATTCCAAGAGCCAGAGACTTTTTAGTTTCCTGCTTTTAGTATCCACACAGATAAGTTGTCATCATGGGGCAAACTAAATTATATGCCATAACACTGGGATGGGAAACCTCTAGCCCTCCAGGTGGTGTTCGACTACAATTCCTATCATCCTGGACCATTGGTCATGCTGGCTGGGGCTTATGGGGGTTGAAGTCCAATAACATCTGAAGGGCAACAGATTCTCCACCCATGCTTTAGTGAGTAAATCCAGTTCTTTTGTTGACTCTAAAATTGGTTACCTTTCATAATTACTAATCACCTTTACAAATAAATCTCTGTTCTCAAGTTCAGTGTACTACTTGTGCAACAGGAATCTACTGACTGTCCAGACCATGAAAATTATTGTATAAAGCTGGGTGGTGTCTCTTCTTAGGCAAGTAGCAAATGGTTTCTGAGGTGAAGATGGGTGGGACGCATAATCTTAGTCAACATTCTGAATTGCTCATTTGTAGATATTCTTCCTTTATTGGGTTGGCAAATACTGTATAGATACTTGTGGATATGCAGAGATGGACAACAGTTCTTGCTGTGCACTAGAGCCTTCTGTACATGGAAGTATCTTGTCTATGTGTCAGCCAAGAAAATTTAGCTGTTACATTCAGGTAACACATGGGCGATTACAGACTGTAATCTGTTTTAACTGTTTTTAAAATTTGTAAATTGTTGTAACCTGCCCTGCAACCTAATGCTAAAAAATCTAAATAATGATGACGGTGATTAATCTGTCCAGTGGGAATCTCTCCTCCCATATGAAATATCTAGAATATTACCCAATGAACTTATATTTATAAGTATCACAATAGCTTCTTTCACTTCTGGATATATTCCCTTTGTACCCTGTCTGTCTGACTATCCTTCCTCCCCCTTTTCTCAGTAAAATCTAGACTAGAAGGTTTAGGGTTGGAGTAAATGCATTTACTGTGAGTAAATATGTTTATCCTTTGCGTTGATTCTTTGTAAAAATCAAGGTTACTTTCCTAGTGCAATGGTAGCATTGAAGTGGAAAAGGGCGGGGGGAAATGAGGCCAGCTGATGGATTCCCCCCCCCCCCTTTGCTTGGGCATGGAACCTCTTTATGCTTGCAGCATGCCTTGTGTGGCTGTTCCAGCAAATTATAGTGAGTGGATGAAAATGGAACTAAATTGCAACACTTCATTGACCTTCAGCAGACCTTATTTTATGTAATTGTATAGTTATATTTCACAGTTCATGGCATTGTGCCAGCATCAGGAGCAAACTTGGGTCTGGCACTGGGATAGCCTTCAGTGCTTGTGGCATGGTGCAATTCATGCAGTGCCATGCGTAATGCAAGGGTTTTTGCAGCAGTGGCAACACTGGATGAGGCAACAAAGAGGTCAGTTTCTGGGTAGTCCTGCAACTTTCCATCCTATAGGTCTGAAGATTCAAGAGAGCGAGAAAATGGCATCATAGGATAAAGTGCTAGGTAAGGGGGTTTCTCTGAATGCAGGTAGAGCTGGATGGCTCTGCGTTGCTTACCAGGCTCACAGTGGTTCTTCAGCAACCAAGAGAGCAAGTACTGCTTTGTGACTTAACTTAAATCAGATTGTAAGAGAAGGGTGTGTACTACACTGCTGCTCGCAGTATTTGAGATGTATTAAGCAATAGCTAGTATAAATATGCAAATAAAAATAAATACAAACTTTCAGAAGTTTCTAACAAAGTCCTGTAACTTTAAAGTTTAGCACTGCTAGAATTTTATTTATCCCACCACCGTCCTTGGTATGCTTCATTTTTCATCTTGGGAGACCTCCAACAAAGCTTACAAAAATGTAATAAATCACCAAAAATGAAACAAGCAGTATAACACTGAAAACGCATGAAAAGCACAAGTGCAGCATCACAAACAGAAATAAAAATATTCAGTGGCACACATACTTAATCAGCATTCAGAAACCTTCCTTGGATGACTAGATTCCCCCCGCCGCCTACTACTCACTAAAATACAAGTATACTTCCTTGGGAGGATGTTGTACAGTCATGGCACCACAATTGAAAATGTCCTGTCCCTTGTGCCCACCCCACTCATTTCTGAGTGCAGAGACATGGAGCAAGACCTCAGAAGCAATGACAGGAAGTAGAATTTTCCAAAACTGAAAAAATTCCAGTGCTTGATTGCTCCTGTGGAAATTTTCCATTCCAGAAGTTGGTTAGTAACCACAAATGAAGTCCAATGACAAATATTAGGCAAGATGGTTTCAAAAAGTTCAGTTTTGTTTGCTAAATACAAGCAAAATAATCATGTTAAATTAGATGACTCTCTAAGCATCAGAACGTTTTCTAATGTGATTTACATGCATGGGAAAATTTTTCAGTTAATTATTTTCCAGAAAAGACACATCAGTCCTCAGATGTTGATGAAAATGTAGGAATAGGTAGATGTATCCTGAAGCAATTCTTCAAATATTCCTGCACCAAACTGCTTAGGAGAAGATGAGAACTGTAGTCCTGCTACATCTGGAGGGCCAAAGGTTGCCCACCCCTGGTTTAGAGCTTTAAAGGTTAACATGAGCACCTTGAATTACACCTGGAAACAAATCTTTGCTAGTGGATCTGGCATAAAAGTCTGACATACACTGAGAAAATTTGTAAGTCTTGCTGCCTCATTTTGGACCAGTTGAAATTTTGGACTACTGCTCAAAGGTGACCTTAGGGAGAAGTGTTACACTAGTTGAACCTACTATGAATGATCTTGACCAGGTCTGCTTTTTCAAGTGTAGAATCCATTAATGGTATCTAAACTCAAGTGCCACTTTTAGTTGCAGTGCATTTTAGAGCATCTAAAGATCTTTGGAAGTTAACTATCTGGGTTGATTGTGTGATGCATTACAAAAAGCAAGCTACCAAAACTATGTTTACAGTTTAATTTTATTCTTCGAGGATAGCGATATAGCTTTGAAGCTCTGAAATTGCATGTCATTGTCTACTAGTTCTGTCCTCTTCTATTAAGAGAGCATTTATTCAGTACAGCCCCCTCATTAATTTAAAGTGACATAGTTCAGGCAGTTGTCTAAAACGTGACCTACCTTCTTTTTCGTCCTGTGTGACACTAAACAGCATCTCTGCTAGTCAAACATACGGGAAGAAGAACATTTTAATATCTCTCTTAAGTTGAAGTACAATTTTAAAATGTTGAAATCGCATGCAGAAGCATG